GATCTTCCACCCAAGGATCGAACTCTTGGCAGATTCTTGAGTCACCTGGATAGCCCAGTAAGCAGTAAACCAGGAGGTAATTCCTACCAGTAACTGCCAAGTACTAATCTACTATGCAGTTTCCCATGAGAGGAAAGAAAGGAATGGAAAAATAGGACATATTTCTTCTAAAAATGAGATGAAAATGTTCATTGTGATTTCTTGATAACAGATGTGCTCTGGCCTTTGCCTCATTATCTAACTGTATTATTAATAAATACTACTTTTACACCTAAAACTTTAAATAGGACAGTACAAATGCCATGAGGGTAATGTCTATAAACTACTTATTTTCTAATCCCTACTGTGAGTTGTTAGGCACATTAATCACCAAATGAACTCATCATCAAATTAACTATAAGCTTTTGTGATCTTTATCAGTCAATATGTTAAGCTTATTGAAAGAGTGACTCCTTTTGTGGGGAGGTTATTTAGAAAACAGACACCTGAACAAACTCTACCTGTGGCAAAACAAAATGTTAGGTGTTATTGTCGTTCTTTAGTCACTAAGTCATGTCCAATTCTTTGTGACTCCATGGACTGTAACCCGCTAGGCTCCTCTGTCCATAGGATTTCCCAGGCAAGAATACTGGAGTGGGCTGACATTTCCTTCTCCTGTATCAAGGATCTTGCCAATCCAAGGATCAAACCAGTGTCTCCTGCGCTGGCAGGATTCTTTACTGCTCAGCCACCAGGAAGCCGGACAGGTGTTATATCTACTAAAATTACTTGCCAGGATTACTATTTACAACTTAGTTATCACATATTCACAGAAGAAACCCACATTCCAGGAATATCAGGGATCCTTCTTATAATGTTTCTCTGGGCTGTGTACTGTGCTTAGTCGCTCAGTCAGGTCTGACTCTTTGGACCCTATAGATTATAGGACCTCAGGCTCTTCTGTCCATGGGGATTCTCCAGGCAAGAATAATGAAGTTAGTTGCCATGCTCTCCTCCAGGGATCTTCCCAACCCAAGGACTGAACCCAGGTCTCCCTCATTGCAGGCAGATTCTTTGCCATCTGAGCCACAAGGGAAGCCCAAGAATACTAGAGTGGGGAGCCTATCCCTTCTCCAGGGGATCTTCCCAACCCAGGAATTGAACCAGGGTCTCGTGCATTGCAGATGGATTCTCTACCAGCTGAGCTATCAGGGAAACCCAACGTCTCTCTAACCCCTGTCTAAGCTCTAGTGCACCGCATGAATATTTATTGCTCTCAATATTATAAAAACTATCCCTCACTGAAAGTAAACAAACATTGTTTTCTGCTTAAAATATTCTTTTCCCAATCATAAGGGTAAACTGAACATATAATTTTAAAAAGGCACTTTTTAAGGAAAAAGAATACAGTGATTGTGTGGGAATGGGGAAAATAAATAAGCTTATGTCAGCAACTGATTTTATAGCACCAACTCCCTAAAACAGAGCTGAAACTGCAGCTTTAATAAAAGGTTCCTACAATTCTTTTGACCAAGATATATTCATTAATTGCCTTCAAGTGGGCACCCAATGGAAGAGCTGACTCAGAAAAAAAACCTGATGCTGGGAAAAATTGAAGGTAATAGGAGAAGGGGGCAGCAGAGGAGGACACGGTTAGATAGATAGCATCACCAACTCAATGGACATGAATCGGAGCAAACTCTGGGAGTTAGCAGAGGACAGAGGAACCTCACATGCTGCAGTCCATCGGGTCACAGAGAGTTGGACATGACAGAGAAACTGAACAAGTGCCCCAAAGTGTTCTGATTTGAGGAATGCCAGACTATAATACTTTGGCCACCTGATGCGAAGAACTGACTCATTGGAAAAGACCCAGATGCCGGGAAAGACTGAAGGCAGAAGGAGGAGGGGATGACAGAGGATGAGATGGTTGGATGGCATCACTGACTCGACGGATGTGAGTTTGAGCAAGTTCCAGCAGTTGGTGATGGACAGGGAGGCCTGGCGTACTGCAGTCCATGGGGTCACAAAGAGTCGGACATGACTGAGTGACTGATCTGAACTGAACTGAGACCACTTGTTTGGGTACAGCTGTATCAAGCAACAAAACTGATATGATGAAGAGTTCTCATCCAGGGTATATAACGTAAGTTTCTCAGATCTTCAGAAGGCTAACACTGCCAAGTCATATAATCAGTGTGACACTGCACTTTCTTGTAGCTACTGATCTTTTTTTTTTCTCCCTAGTGACAACCTTTTAAGAAAAGAATAAAGGGGATTTACTAGGTAGGAAAAAAAAAAAAGAGATTCTTGAACAATGTTTCCCAGACATCTATTCCTTTTTCCCTTTTATTTTTCCTCTGTACTTTTGGAAGTAAAGGTTTTATTATGAGTGTATTCATTCCTGCAAGTTCTGGGAAGCACAGTACCTGTCCCTGAAATGGACTCATCTTTTGGTGTATTGTGAGCTGACTCCTTGATAAATGACTACAACAGAGAAATTCCTAAAAGCAAACAGCTTTAGGAAATGTTCTGGTCATTTCTAATGCCTGAACACTTTGTTTTAAGATCTTTGTTTCTACTGATTTTGTTTTGAAAAAGGCTGATGAACTCGGTCTGAAATGTAAAAATGGGGGAAAAAAAATGGAAGGAAGAGAACATGCAAAATAAGTTAATCATTATCATTTTAAGTGCCACCAGTTCTGTTTATAATCATGCACATGTGAATTGCTGAATCTCATTTGATCAACCCAATTAAACATTAAATAATTGCAGCCAATTATGCAAATATCAGCAACAATATTAATTTGTTGATCTTTTTGAGCAGATTAGCCTCACATGTTCCTAATGCTAGACTATCTTACGCCTTAAATGATCAATTAGTGTTACGATAACTAAGTCTTGAAGAATGGATAATTGCCTAGTTATAATGTGTCACTCTTGCTGTATTAATCCACTGCAATTAAACAAACAGTGCACAAGGAAAAAAGACATGCAGATGTTCCTTTTAAATCTATTTAACAAGTTAGTGTCAAGGTCAATTTCCTGTCTTATTACTTAAATGAGAATGGCAGATTGTGTTCGCTGTTTTAGGAGACTTGGTTCCTTTAAATGTATATCCTTCGTCTTCATGAAGTCTGGTTTTTAAGGGCTTAAAATGCTCTTAAGGTTTGATGAAAGAAATCACACAGACATAATGTCAAGACATATTGTTCTCCAACTTTTACGAGGAACATGTCTAGCCATACTAAATTTAGAGATGCAAAGTATAAAATGTATTTGCGGCAAACAAATGACTTCCATTTCTCATAGGAATGTTGAGTGTAGTTATTATGTGCTACTTGACAGGTTAGAATTACCTTAGGTCATTTCTAGACTACAACATTGAAAGCGAGGTCACAAGGTTTAGCAAAGGCAAACGCATAGCCTTAGAATGCTACTTGGTGAACAACGTGCATGAAGGACAGTTAAAGCATGTCAGACCTGAAAAGAACAGACTCTCCCAAGACTTCAGATTGCCAATTAAGAGCCCCCTAAAAAAGATATTTTTACCATTCCTTTTCATCTTCTACTTTCCTCATTTTCATTTTACCATTCCTATCTAAAAAGACCCTATGGCCAAAAGTCTTGGAAAAGAATCAAAGCCCCATTTGCTATGTGCTGCTAAATGCCTTAAGGAAATTTTTCCAGCACGTCAAACTTTTAGAATTTTTTTCCTTGCTCTGAAAAGAGAATGAAATATGATCAGCAAGATGAAAGTTATTAGGACTGAGGAAACCAAAATAAAATGTCTGAGAGTTGACCTTCCAAGGGTAAATGTTTTCTATCAAGATTTGACTTTCCCCTAGATAAACCAGGATACTACAATTTTAACTCAAGGCTCCCGAACAAGGAAAATATCATCTATAATCACTCTCTCTATACCCTAACCATGTGCTTATCTAATCCCCTCAACAGGAAAGAGCACCTATAAAACCAGAGTATAAAATGCACAGTATATTCCTCTCTTTCTACCAAAAAACTAAATATGATTTATTTTGTATTTAACACTTAAACATTTATGTATTTAACATATAACATGTCATTTCCATTTGGCTGGTATGATATCACCATCTTTCTAGAATTATTACTTTAATTCCAAGACAGTCTTCAAATAAATCATTCCTCCAACAAACTACAATCAGAGTATCTCTAATGACTTGGCAGTCCATGGAAGCTAAAGAGACATGAGGTAAATATAGAGAAAGTCAGAACCAATCACAAATTCTAATAAAGAGGTTTCATAATATAGAAACAAAGAAGGTACACTTCTATAGAAGCTAAATGTTCATTCATTCCTTACTATGGGCCAGGCTAGGGGATGCAAAGATCTATAAGGCACAAGACCCTCAGTCCTGTAGTGAAGCCTGCCCAAGAATTACAACACAGTGTGGAGACAGCAGGGGTAGTCTTGTTGATGTACCAGTGGAGCCTGGTGCAGACTGTGATGTCAGGAAGGAGGAGAGATTCTCCCTAAGATGGACTTAGGGGGCAGGGAAAGAAATCCAGTTTCTCTAAGTCTTGATTTATAAACAACAACAACAACACACTTTTCTGAGGATGGAGATGTGGCCCGGGCAATGGTACCTATGAAATGTACTCAGATCAGCTTTCAAACACAAAGACACTCACTGGTTGAGAAGCAGGACATAACTTATGCTAAAGAATAAAGAATTTTTAAAAAATCTGAGTGAAGCCGTAAGGGAGGCACTAAGATTATGGAGGAAAATTCTAGACTTATATGGCTTCCATAATCCACTCTCTAGAGAAGGTAAGGAAAGCTTCTAGGGGGCAAATTTAGAAACTACCATTGGATGATTGTGATTCATCTTCTCTGGCATGAGGAAACAATCGCCCTGGTAACACAGATAATACAAACAACATGATGCACAACTAAAATCAGGTAGCCAAAGACATTTCTCATAATTCAAATGCAACAGTCTGTCCCAAGCGCACACAAATGATATCCTGTTCTTTTCCATTCAGGCTACTGTGATTGTCCAGTCGCTCTCTTCTCTTCCGTACTACAAGAAAAGCAAGAAAACATGTTTCAGTGTTAAAGCTAAAGCACAGAACAGCTTATAAATAAACTTAATGATATAACCAACGTTGAACAAAAGGTTCACTTCTGTTTTGTACATTAAAAGCAGGTCCATATTGAAAATAAGACTATGTATAAAGAACCAGTCAAATACCTGGGAAGAATCATAGATTTTATAATTATAGTTGAGCTCAAATTTATAGCTAGTATAGGTTCCTTACATATGCCTCTTCACTGCTATCCTGTATTTAGTTTCTCAGATCATGTACCGTTTTCACTTGAATCGCCTCTTTAGTACTAATATAACTTCAGTTGAAATGAATACAAAACATTATAATTCCTGAATTGGAAAGAACATTACATATTGTCTAGTCTTCAAGGAATGAGCCGAATAAGTGTGGCTCTGGATTTCACTTCAGAGTAGTTCCACTTCTACTGGTTTCATATACTGGGATTCCAGGAAAGGTCTCTTTTGCAGAAAGTTCTAAGGCTTAAAAACTCAAGTGTGAAGAGCAATAAACTTTTAAGTCCATCTTCTCACTGAAGGACACTAAGGCTCTAGCAAACTCTGTTTTTAAAATTTTCTTTTATTGAAGTATAGTTGATTTACAATGTAATGTTAAGTTCTGCTATATAAAGTGATTCATACGTGCATATGCATACATATATACATATGTGTGCATATATATACTCATATACATGTCTATATATACATATGTGCGTATATATACACACATATACATGTCTATATATACATGCTGTTGTTCAGTTGCTAAGTCATGTTCTACTCTTCGCTACCCCCATGGACTGCAACACTCCAGGTTTCCCTGTCCTTCACTATCTCCTGGAGTTTGCTCAAACTCATGTCCATTGACCTGGTGATGCCATCCGACCATCTCATCCTGTCGCCCCCCTTCTCACAGTCTTTTCCAGTGAGTTGGTTCTGTGCATCAGGAAGTCCAAGTATTAGAGCTTCAGCTTTAGCCTCAGCCCTTCATATATATATATATATATATATATTCATCAGAAGGGCCTATGTATATAGGCTTCCCTGAGAGCTCAGCTGGTAAAGAATCCACTTGCAATGTAGGAGACCCTGGTTTGATTCCTGGGTCAGGAAGTTCCCCAAGAGAAGGAATAGGCTACCCACTCCAGTATTCTTGGGCTTCCTGGGTGGCTCAGAAGATAAAGTATCTGCCTGCAATGCTGGAGACCTGGGTTCAATCCTTGGGTTGTGAAGATCCTCTGGAGGACGGCATGGCAACCAACTCCAGTATTCTTGTCTGGAAAATCCCATGGACAGAGGAGCCTGGCAGGCTACAGTCCATGAATTCGCAAAGAGTTGGACACAACTGAACAACTAAGCATTGCACAGCACATATATATATATGTAAATATGTACACATATATGTTTCCATATTCTTTTCAATTATGGTTTATCACAGAATACTGCATACATTTACCTGTCCTATACAATAGGTTCTTTTGTTTATACATTTTCTATATAGTTTACTTCTGCTAATCCCAATGTCCTAATCCATCCCTCCTCCATTCCCATCCCCCTTGGCAACCATAAATCTGGCCTCTTCTAGGAACCTCTTAACTACAGCCCAGTTCTGTATCTGTGCAATGCTATTCCTCCTCCATCACACTGTCTGTGTCCTGGGTGCCTCGTAATGAGCTTTAAAGACTTCAGAAAGCAGAATCTATCAAATTGGTACAAATACTAGAAGCTAAGAATGGGTCCCCCTATAACCTTCTGGTTTACATGAAAAGGAGAATGAAGGAAGCCAATGTCACTAAGTGACTTACTTAATCCACATCAGAAAGTATTGCCTACAGAGTATGGCTTCCCACTGTTCACACTGTTGATTTCACAATGAATGCCAGACAAAACATTCCCAAATTCTACCTGATTTATACATAGAGAGAAATACACATTTTATTTTTCGTATTTGAATTTCTGTTAATACATCAGACACTTTAGCCATTAGTAATAATTGAGTGTCAGCCTACTGATATTTTGTATGCTAAGTGGGTTTCCACATTTCCCATTGGGTATGTGTATGCTTGTATACTAAATTGCTTTAGTTGTGTCCAACTCTTTGCTACCCTATAGACTGTAGCCTGCCAGGCTCCTCTGTCCATGGGATTCTCCAGGCAAGAATTCTGGAGTGGGTTGCCATTTCCTTCTCCAGGGGATCTTCCGGAACCAGGAATCAAACCCACAGCTCTTGCGTCTCCTATACTGTCAGCTGGGTTCTTTACCACTAGCGCCATCTGGTAAGCCCTATTGACATTTTAGCAGATCTACAAACTTATGATTCATGACTATAATTTCATCATGAATCTCACCAGTTAAAATGAATTTGCTTTCAGTTACCCATTTTAGTTTTATCAACAGTCAAGATCAGTTTTGAATACAGTGACAGTCATAGGCCATGTAATTCTAGGAACCTAGAGAATATGTATTAAGGTTTTTCTCTCGTCCTGCACCTCATGCTTTCATGTAAAATCATAGTATCTTGAGATGTTATTCAAGGGATGTGATAATACAGCTAATTCATAATATCTAGACTTAGGTGATTATCACCTTTCATTTCAATAATGAATAATGTAGTTTAATTTTCCAAGGTGAAATAATTCAAAGTAGAGATGACAGATTTTAGCAGGAATAGAAATACACTTCCTTTAAAAGGTATCCAGAGAAGACGGGGAAAGAAAACACTTGTCTGCATGGACCAGACTGTCCTTATATTGCTGTCAGCGCTTTTAACGGGCTTCCCTGGTGGCACAGTGGTAAAAGAATCTGCCTGCCAATGTAGGAGAGGAGGATTTGATCCATGGGTCGAGAATATCCCCTGGAGGAGGAAACGGTAACTCCAACATTCTTGCCTGGGAAATCCCATGGAGAGGAGCCTGGCAGGCTACAGTCCATAAGGTTGCAAAGAGTCGGACATGACTTAGTGACTGAACAACAAAAATGCGTCCTTAACACTACCATAGTGACAGCCTTTAATATTTGCAATGCAGTAAATCAATCCAGCCTGTGGGGTGGTACTTTGAGACCATGTGGAAGGCTCAGCGTGATGTGCAGAATTTTTCAACTTTTCATCAGTTCCAATTAGAACAGTGAACTAAAACGTGACTAATAATGACAAGCTTATTACTTGCATTCAATGCACATTTGGCAAATAATTTTACAAGGCCTTTGCTAAAACATGCCTTTTATATTTGGCAGAAAATTCTAAAACATAAAAAGGCCAAGCTGCAAGTTAGGCACTTAACTCTCAACAAGGCCAATAAAAATAGAACCAGTGCTGCCCACCAGTTAACACTTCATCATCCTGGTTGTAGGTCATATTCAATGGCCATGGAAAGCTCTGTGATCCGAAAACAATGGGTGAAGCGTGAATTAGGGAACACGGAGAGGCTGGAAAGCTGAGCAAGGGACTGCACCATCAAAGCAATCTAGAATGTTCACCAAGTCTGCACACACACACAGAATAGCTCAGAACTTCTCCAGGGAAAGAACGGTTATTTATTCTCACAAAGCTGCAGCCACAGGTGGGAAAAGAGATTTTTAAAATTCTATCTGGTGATGGGCTATCAATATGGATCATGCTTTGATCCCACTCAGCTTCCCTTATTCTAAACTACTGAAGATGTCCACCTCTGGGTCTTGACAATCACTCCTCCCACTTTCTGAAATGGCAGTAGCAGCATGGCTAGTTACTCAAATATGCTACCCCGATATTTACAACTTGGACTGCAGCTTTTATCTGATCCTGACAGCAGTTTCGATGTATATCTCAAAAATCTAAATCAGATTCTTTTTTTTTTTCTTTTTGTAAAATAATTTGACATTTTTAATCTCTTCTCAGAATGTATTAATACACAAGAGCAACATGTTTCTGTTCCTCAGTACTTGCTTGGTGTATCACTCACCCATTCATTCCTTTTTCAACATTACTGAGGTTCTTGCCTGGTGGTCCAGTGGTTAAGAATCTGCCTTCCAGCGGAGGGGACCTGGGTCCAATCCCTGATCAAGGATTTAAGATCCCACAAGTCATGGGGCAACTAAACTCACACGACACAACTAGAGAAGGCCACGTGTGCCACAGGAGGAGCCCGCATGTACCACAACCAGAGGAAGCCCCCATGGCACAATGAAGCACCATCATAGCCAAAAATGAATTAATTTTTAAAAATTTAATTAACAAATTAATTTTTTAAATGGAAGAATATAGTACAAAGAGAAAATATTAGCAGGAGTCAGGGTAAAAAAATTTAAAAAATAAAAAAGAAAGAAACATTACTAAGTATGTACTATGGCACAGACGCTGTGAGAATATTGGAATTACAAAAAGAGAATAAAATAACACCCACACTCAAACAACCATGGAACAAAGGTAAGTGTGTGACTAATCAGAACAGACTTTAAAAGTCCTACATGATCATCCAGAGGCTATGGAAAATGGGGAAGAAGCAGCAGTTAAGTGGGTGAATATATGTTTGTACTGAGGAAAGGGGATGTTATTCCAGAGATTTAAAAGATTCTCCAAGGAGTTGCATCTTGAAGAAACAACCAACATCTTATCAAACAGGCAAACTGTAGAAGATATAGGAAGGCAGGAAGGACGCAAATAGAGCAGAGCGTATTGGAGGACAGAGAAGACCCCCAGATGGCAGAAGCTGATATGATGGTAACAGGAACAGCAAAGAGCAATGGGAGAACGAGGGATATGGACAGCAAGGTGATGTTCTCCAAGTTCAAGTTTGGTTAAGTATGAACACAGAAGTGCTTTTTTTTTTTTTTTTGGTAACATTATTAAAAAAAAGAAAAAGAAGAGGAAGGGACTTCCCCGTTGGTCCTATGGTTAACAATCCACACAATGGTTCAATCCTTGGTCAGGGAACTAAGATCCTACATGCCAAGGAGCAACTAAGCCCACAGGCTAGAACTAGACCGTCCAAGTGCAT